GAAGCTCCTCCCCGCAGACCCCGCGCCCGGGCCCGGAACGAGGGTCGCCGCCATTTCCGCCTGCGGGCGCGCCGGCCCCCGCCCCTAAGCCCCCGCACAGCCCGCCGCCCCGCCGACTTCATCCCGAGGCCCTTGCACAGCCCCGCCACCCCCTCGCTCCGAGGCTCCGCGGCTCCGCGACTCCGCGGCTCCGCTCCGCTGCTGGGCAGCCGGCTGACGCGCTCCTCAGCCGGGGCTGCGCCTCGGGGACCCCCGGCGGCGACGGCGGCGGCGGCGGTAGCGGCGGGGGCAGCGGCAGAAGGCGCGGGAGCGGTACCGGCAGAGGCAGCGGGGGCGCGCACGCTCACGCACGCTCACGCACGCACCCGCACCGGCGCGCGCGCCCCCGGAAGGACGTGGGCTCCGGCGGGTCGCAGTCGGAGACGAGGGAGGCCGCGCGTGCGCCCAGAGCACTAGGCAGAGGCTCCGCCCACCCAGGGGCGGAGTCCCAAGTGACAACCCTGGGGCCGAGGCCCCAGAACTGTGGGTGGAGCTTGCTCTGTGGAGCCGGAAGCGCCCGCTGCCAGGCGGTGGCGAGGCCTGCGGTGGGTGCCCAAGGTGCTCTTAGGCGGGCGGGAAGGTGCTGCGGCGAGCTGCACGGAAGAAGAGGTGCGGGGAGTTGTCTCGAAGCTGAGTTTGCAGCGGTTTATGTAAGGTGGAGAAAACGTAATTGTCATCAAAAAGCGCAAAAGGGAACTGGTGAGAGATGACCCGGAGGCCGACGCCTCCCATCCAGCCTGTTTGGGCCTGACGTTTGCTCCTCCCTGGAGAGCCGAGATGGGACTTCCTTCCTGCTCAGTCACCAAAGGGCCACTTCCATCATCCAGTCGCCCTCTCAGAATCACTCACAAACAACGGCGTGGAAAGGCAGAAACCAGCTTCCACTCACTTCCCTGCCCTGCTCATCCCACTGACCCCGAGGGAGGGGAGACCTTCCCCACCTGGACTCCTGTAACTGAGTGCCTGCTCTGTGCCCGCTACACCCATATGTGACCGTTTTCATCCTAAAAGCCATTCCAACAGGCCTTTATGCTCAGTGCTCCTGCCACCTCCCTTCCACTCTTCCATTAGCCATTTGTCTTCTTAAAACAGGAAGCTGATGACATGCAAGACTTCCTATGACACAGTAACATTCAAGCTCTTTGCCAAGAAGCCCTGGCCCCCACCTACTCTGCCCTCTTCTTAACCTCTTCACCGCCACGCTGGCCTTGTACTGCCCAGTTTGTCCCAGGCTGTGGGCCTGCCTGTAAATGGCAGGGAGCTCGGGAAGTCTCCTGACAATCAGTCATTAAATTGTGCAATATCAAGCAGGCAGCAAGAAAAGAGAGGCCCGTGAAAACCAAGAAGCAGAAAGGCCAGACGGATATCTGTGTCTGTTGATTCAAAAGGGTGAAAGATTTTGGGCCAGAATCAGGGGAAATGAGAGAACAAAATGGAGCTAGTGCCAATTTCAGATGGAAGCTGAAGCTGTGTGCAGCCTGTGTTGGGAGCTGCAAGAATTCTGCTTCAGGGACATTCTTCCTAAGAACATGTTACCAAATACAGGAAAGGCTGTAGGCACAAGGCTGCTCTTGGGGTTACTTATCACAGTGAAACGGAAACCTGCTTACTGTACAAGCAAGCACACTCAAAAGGAAGTCTAGTTATTAAAGTTGGACACAAAGGCTATGTAACATAGAAATTCTTGTGATACCTCCTGAGAGCAAAATGGGTAAGATTCATGCCACATCAAGTACCGTATCACAAGTACTTCATAAGCAAGCCAACCTTGGGAGAACATAAGACAGGAAGGATACCCGTGTGCTTCAAATGCCCTTTTATTGGGTAAGACGGACCCCATCAGCCTCACCCTGAGGCGAGGGAACCGAGGCTTGAGAGAAGCAGGCCCTGGGCTGCTGGGCAATGCCGGCCCCTCCCGTGCTCTTGGTTCTGCCCACCCACCACTTCTCGAGTCATCCAGGCTCATCTCACACAAGTCCATTATTCATGGAAGCGCCTTGTCTTCCCCACAAATGGAAGTGCGAAGTCCCTGAGGGTTGGGTCCACATCAAATTCACCCTTGTAACCCACAGAAGCCCAGTGGACTCTTACCCCAGGACATTTAATAAACGAAGACCACGTGAGACCCATTTCCAGCATAAATGAGGGTAAATGTTGACTGCACACAGCTGTGGTGCTTCCCACCCTTTGTACCAGCTCACTGTTGCATTGGACTGTCGTGTGGGGACTGCCTCTGACAACTACAAGCCACTAACTTCCCCCGCTGTCACATCTGGGGCAGGCCTGGCTCCCTGACCCCAAAGGAGGTCAATGCCCCCTGTAAGGGGTTCCCACTGTGAACACCTGAGACAGGCAATAGACTCCTGAGAGGCAGCAGGCAGCTGTCCCTCCAGGGCCTGGGGAGGGGGTGCAGCTAGTACTGCAGCATGGCGCTAAGCAAGGAAAGCAGGCCACAGGCCTTGCACGCCATCTCCAGATAAGAAAAGGAGGCGAATGAGAGTACATTCCATTTGCTGGCTTGTGCAGGATGAACGGTCGTCAGAAGATGGGTGGGTTCTGAGCATGCCTGGTCATGCTTGTTTTGGATCCTGTAGATGGACCACCTTAAAACTGTGCCCGGAGGCAGGCTTCCCGTAGCCATCCTCCCTCCCAAGGCCCCAGCCCCAGGCAGGGTCTAAGTTGCTGTAGCTCATCTTCACTCTGCGCTGTCATGTTCCTTCAGGATGGTCACTTGCCCGTCATCTTCCTGTGGCTCCAGCTGCACAGGGGAGAGCTGGGGGTAACAGCCAGTACACCGCTGGTCCGAGGAGCAGGACCGTCTCCTTCCCGATGCCACTGCCCGCTCAGTGTGCTCTGCCCACTTGTCCAAGGGATACATGTGGCCCCCCTGCTCACAGCAGGGGCTCTAACAGCAACTGGAGGCAGGCCTCACCCCAGGCCACCCCTTCAAGGGGGTGCCTCCTGGTTTGCTTGCCCAACTCCTACAGCTCAGTCTGACCTACACACGGGGTGACCCACTGGCTTCCCCTCATCCTCCATGCCCCTTCCTCAGAGAGCCCACAGGCTTATCATCTCTATACGCTGTCACGGCATGTCCTTCTTTCTTCATAGCACCAAAAGTTCGGAATTTGTGTTTCAGACCATTACTTCCTGCCTCCCTCTCCCTGGGGTGTGGGCTCATGCCACAGCAATTGTGTCCGTTGGTTTGTTCGCCACTTTCGTCACCTTCCTGAGTGAAGTAAGACACACACACAACTGAAGTGGCTTTTCCCCCAGAGGAGTGCTTTATTGACAAATTACCCATTATTTACTTTAAGGAGAAGACAAATCCTGCCTTCTCTGCAGCCCGTCTGAGAGATTCTAACTCTGGAGAGAGGAAAGTGTGTGGTGTTCTTCCCACAGCATCAGCGGGGACCAGCAGACACACAGGTCCAGAGGGCACATCACCGTCCACCAAAGTGGACACTCTGGCTGACGGGCCCCCAGGGAGGGCAGACAGACGCATATGCAGGCCAGGTCTGTGCCCCGTCCCCTCAGAGCCGGTAAGGCACAGCTGTCCCTCAGACACCCCGACACGTGGGGCCCTGGGTGAGAGGCTGCTGGGCTGTGGCAGCTTCAAATTGGGAAAGAGACTTTTGTAGCTCCTGAGAAAGGCGACAGCAGAGTTCCAGCTGACCCCACACCCAGCCCGGACCCGCCCTGCAGGGTCCGCCCGCAGCTCACTTGGCCCTGGCATGTGGTAAACAGGCAGGCTGGAGCCACTGACCAGGGATGCGCTGGCCAGGCCTGGCCACCCCACTGTGGAGGGTGCTGGCTTTTCCTTCTCCTGTCTCCCAGCCCCAGATGCCCAGGAGCCTTCTGGCCAGCAGGAGCTGCCTCGGTCGTGGAGGACAGAGAAGCGAGTTTCATCCACTGGGATGGAGCACGTTAGATAAAACACACCATAAGTACAGGCATGCTGCCCTCGGGCTAAATGCACAATCCTACAGTGCTCAGAGCCCACTAAGGAACGCTTGCTGTTTTTATATATATATATGTATATATATATATATATATACATATATATATATAAAAATTTCTTTTTTTTCTTTTCTTTTCTTATCTCTTTTAGCTGAGCCATCCTGCCACCTGTTGGCAGCTCAGCTGGGGCCGTGAATCAAAACGGTGACCCGGTTGCTCAGCGCTCACACTCTAGAGTGAGCTCTTAACCAACTGAGCCACTTGGCCGGCCCTAGGAACCCTTGTTTTTATATATAAAAACATTATAAACAAATAAAGCATAAGGCGACATAAGGCTTGTATTTCAGCTTGAGTCCAAACAAATAATATTTTCTAACTATGAGGCTAAAGCTGCTTTCCTTAGTTTTAAATTTTGAAAAATTCACTGCATTTAAAAAATAAAGAATTTGCTTCTGTTAAAGCTAGATCATCAGTGTAACAATTAGGCAGCTGCTGATAACCAGTTTCTTCTTAGAGGGTCTCAGAAGCCGTGACTCAGGGAAGGCCAAGGTTAGAAAATACACTGATGCTCCTTTCTCTTCCTGTTCTTTCAGCATCCTGATGGACTAAGGTTGCAAAGGGAGCGTGGCCACGACCCCCACCCCACCCATTTCCTGCACCAAGGGAAGGACGGTACGGTGACCTATGACGGCATCACCAACTTCAGTGTAAAGCATCTGTGTGCAGACTGTTCTCTAAGTCATGCAACGCAGCGGCCACGTCTACATGTGGATGGCACAATTGTCCTCAAAACCGCTCGCTGCACCGGCCGCAGCCTGGCTGGTGCTCCATGCTGCAGTGGCAGGTGTGGCGATGAGGGTGTCTTCTTGTCCCGTGGCCGGGAGAGCTGCTGCGGGCTTAGAAAGGCGTGTGATCGGGCAGGGGCTTGTCACCACTCCCAGTTGGAGACGGAAGGCTGTCACTGCCATTCTCTCTGCCACCCACCACCTTTGACTACATAGAAGAAGACCAAGAAAGAAAAACCTGAGACAGAGCACATAATGCCAGGCAGAACGTAGGTCCCCGTTGGGAACTCAAGGTGCTCAATTCTCCACTTGAGTTACGAGACATGAACACTGCTTAGCAATAAGACAGAACAAATCACTGACACAGGCAACAGGCTGGATGTTATCTCCAGAAATTTATGCAGAGTGACAAGAGCCAATCCCAAAAGGGAACACCCCACATGGTTCCGTGTACATGACCCTCTTGCCATTACAGAACTACGCACATGGAGAATGGACTAGTGGTTGCCGGGCAGGGCTTGAGGAAAGAAGGTGGGCACCATGAAGGGTTGTGGTGGGGGTGGAACTGCTGGTAGCCTGTCAAGTGTCACATCCTGATGGTGATACTGCAACGTTATCACTGGGGAAACTGCCCAAGGTACAGGGCTCTCCGTATGACTTCCTTTAACTGCACATGAATATCCAACAATTATATAATTTACATAAGTGCCAGGTCACACCCCATCAAGAGAATTGAATGGTTCAGGTTCCGTTACCTTTATGGTCCCAACTCGGTCTTCAAATGACTTGAAGGTTGCAGAATTCCTTTAAAGAAAAAGGGAAGCGGTGTCGATATAAGGAACAAACAGTAGTGTTGTCCTGAATTTATAGGGCCTCAGGGTCAGGGTCATCCTCCGGAAAGATCCCCAATAGCATTCTGAGGTCTCACTGCACAAATGTGACAAGCCAAAAGAAGGGGGGGGGGTACACCCCCTGCAGAGAGCCCAGCCAAGGTCACTAGGAGGCTTCACCAGGTCAGAACCGAGGTCAGCCACACTTGCCCACCACAGGGACAGAAGACCCGCATGCCACCAGCTGGTAAGATTCAGACCTCACGTGGGCGAGCTGCGGACCTGGCCTGCACCGCGGGTGGGTGCAGGGCACCTTTCTGCCGCCCCTGCGTGTGGCTGCACTGGCTTAGGAAAAGTGCCACATGTCCTTCACACAGATCTCCCCTGGAGTGAGATGCAAGGAGAAGCAAGGGCACCCTGGGACAGGGAGTGGTAAGGAGGCAGAGGAGGGGAAAGCAGGCTAGCCCCAGCGCCACCCAGCCCTCAGGCCACTGCAGGTAGCCTGTCAAGGGCTCCCAGCATGCTCTGGGGTATGGCAGCAGCAACAAGGACAGGAGCAGAGGGGGAGAAAACAGGCAGGGACTTTGAGAGGGAACAGCCATGGCTTCCAGGGCTCTTGGGAGACCAGGGATCCATGCCAGGAGCAGATAAAACCACACAGGCCTCGTGGGTGCCAGATATATGTGAGAGCCTCTGCCCCTCCCCGGCCCGACCCTGCGGGCAGCCCTGGAACGTTCCAGATGAAGCCCAGTTTCGCACACCGTCTCCCCTGCTAGCTCTTCAGCCTAGAAGGGGCCTTTCCTAACGCTTATCCAACAGGAGGCTGCCAGGGGAAGGTGGTCCTTGGTCCAGGGACGGGAAGTGAGGCTGACCAGCAGGGGCCGCCCGCTCCCACCCGGCCCCCGGCTCTGGGAGCCTGGAGCAAGCGTACGTTACCTCATGGCCGGCATACTTATGGAGTGGCGGATGGCAGAGCTGCTGCTTGGAAGCATGGGAAAGCAGAAAGGGAAGCAAGAGTTAGGGTGGGGACGAGATCGGTGCATCGGCTGGGGTCACACAGAACCCGACCATGGGGCAGGTGGCGGGAGCTCCACTCCACTCCCAGCCTGACCGTGGGACAAGAACAGGGAAGCCTCGTGAGAACCCTCACCAGGAGGAGAACGCGACCCCAGGCTGCTCTCTCCCACTCCAAAGTCGCCCCAGAAGTGCGACACTGCTGAGGCCTGCTTTAGGAAAGCTTTAGGGACAACCGGCTGTCAGATGTCCTTACTTAACCTCACAGCAAGTGAAATGGTTTTTTGGCAAAAGAGAAACAACCAGGCCAACAAGGTAAAGACATTGATCGTCGCAGAGTATTCTGAATGTGGGTCGCAGACCTCCCAGCCAGAACAGCATGTGACACCGGGGTGCTGGTGTCGCTGGAGGCAGACGGCTGGGGGGGTATCTGACTGGGTGTCTGCACCGTGCGGCCCCCGTGCAGAGAGCACTCTCGGTCACAAATGAGACAAGCGCCCCTTGAAGCGGTGGGGCTGCTTCTCAGGAGGGTGCAGGGCTCAGGACACATGAGCATGTCTCTTTGGGAACAGACATGGGAGAATGCAGAGGGGCAGCTGTGGGGCTGGTGGGGCAGGCTGCCACAGAGCCCAGTGGCAGGGAGGCCTGGGCAGCAGCCCTACACCCGCCACGCTGCTGGGGACGGCCCACAGGGGCCACAGCTTGAGAAGCCAGTCCCATGGCCCCTCACCACCTCACCCAACAGCCTCCACGGCCCAGCAGAGCCCACCCTGCCCCGAAACAGAGCAAAGCCCTCCACAGGTGTGTCCAGCATCAGGCTTACCTAAAGGAGTGTGAGAGCGGACGAGCCCTGAAAGGTGGCAGCAGGAGAGAAGAAACGCGGGGTTAGGAAGGGAAGGCCAGTGCCCGCTCGGCTCGGACTCCAGAGGCCACCCTCTAGTACTCAGGTCACCACGGAGAGCAGGACGTGCCTGAGGCCCAACTGGGGCAGGCTGCCGCTCCCTGGCACACACACTAAACCTGCGCACCCTACAGCTCTGCCCTCCTGGGTGCAGTCACCTACGAGGGCCCTACACGTCCATGACCCTGTTTGGAGGCTGGAGGGAAAAAGTCCCAAAGGGATGAGCAGTGCAAAGGTGAGACACGCCATGGCGCCCCGGGACCCGGAACTGAGTCACCCGGCTCAGCTGCCACGCTGCACCTCGGCAGAGTGCCTGTGTCCTGCAGACACACAGGGCGACAGGACTTGGGATGCCGTCAGGGCTGAGCACTTGGCGCTCCGGCCCCATCACCCCAGATGACAGGAGCTGACCTAGAAGCCAGCATGAGCCCCAGGGCGCTGACTAGAGGCAACACGACCCCCCTCCTTTCCCAGCCAGGCCATGTCCTCTAATACTGAGGCTGCCCCACAGGGAGGTCCTTTCAGAGCCACACACACAGTGCCATGGTCTGTCGTGCCTGGACCGCACAGGTGGGCAGCAGGGCCTGCTCCCTTTGGGATGGGAGGAGGGGGTGAGGGGAGGAGGGTGCCTTGTCAAAGGTCCCCAAATTGGACTGAGACCCAACCTCTGACCCAAAGCCAGTCCCACCACCTCCAGCCCCAGGACACGACAAAGGCTTCTCAGGCCAGGTCAGGGCTACTGCTGGACAGGCCACCGAGAACTCCAGCCTGGGCAGCTGTCCTGAAGACCTGGCCCTAAACGTCGCAATGCAGTGACCCATTAGGGGTCACTGGCCCAAACTCATGGTGGAACCTTGCTGGACCCAGTTTTCATTCTCAGGAAGTGATGAACTCACAAGCTCGAGCCCTAGACCAGGGAAGTTAATGGCCTCGGCCTCAGAAACCACCTGAGACCACGTGATGACACAATGGGGACACATCAAGGACCCCCAAGACGTCAGAGTTCACAGCACCACTGAAACACAAAAGGACAAAACCAGTGGAAGATGAAAGCCCCCATGGTAACACACACCAGCAAACAGGATGATCCCTCCAGGCACCCGAGTGCCACCTGGTCCCTCCCCCTGGCTGGCCCCACACAGAGCGCAAGTGGCGATTCCACACACGGGAAGCTCGGTGAGGCCGGGCATGGAGCCATCCCAGCGTCACTGTGACAGGAAATGGGCTCACTGCTGGCCATAGCCTGCATGCCCCGAGTTGGCAGCAAATCCCAGTTCTCTGAGCAGAAGCGGACGTGTCACTGTCGCCAGAGCAGACCGTGCAGAGCTGCGCCATCAAAGCGGCCGCGACAGGCTCACCCACAGCCGCTGCCATCAGCATCACGCCCGCCGTCCTCACCGCTTTCCACCCAGGATACTCTGAACACACTCAAAGTGAGTGAGGGCACTTCAGGTGAGCAACAATGCCAGAAGGGGAAGACAACATCCCGGGGGGACGCACAGCAGACGTCCTGCTTCCCTTAAGTGCTGTCATCAGACCAGCATTTTGAGGAAAAAGCAGACACAACCTGACACGCTGCTCCCTCCAGTGGCACTGGGAAGGCCCGCCTCGCCTGTCCTAGCAGTCCCTGGAGCTCAGCCAGGCCACCAGTGGCATGTGATCGGTCTGTCACTGGGCTTACCACAGCACAGCTCAGGTGGCCAAAGCAGGCATCCCAGAGTGCAGCAGCGATGGTGTCATCTATTTTAAAGGAGATTCGTTACAGGAACACAGCCACAAGGCAGGTATTAGCAGCTCAGTGTGAGACCTCTGGGAGGGGTCACAGCAGGACCCCTCACTGCCAGCTCAGAGCCCCGAAGGGGGGGCACATGGGGTGGGGTGTCTCCTGGGCCTAAATCACAGCCGTGTGGGCAAGGCCTGCATTTATAGGCGACCACAGGGACCTGCCCCCCACCCCACCCCACCCCACCCCCAGCCACAGCTGCTCAGGAGTACGGCCAGAGCCCCAGTGTGGGAGGCCGCAGTCCTCAGGCGCAGTGGGAACACACAGACCACATACGACTGTTCTGCTTCTCCAAAGGTTTGAAGATGTTCAGAACAAAGCTGGGGAGAGGGTAATTATGTGAGACAAACAAAATAAAATGTGGGCAGGGAGCCAGGCCTAGGCCATCCTCTGCTGGGCTGGGCGGGTGCCTGGGGGTGTCAGCATCTGCCTTTTGCCTCTAGCTAAGTGGCCAGGGCAGAGTCCCCAGCAGGCAACTGTCAGGCCTGGGAGGTGGACAGGCAGGGAGGGAGCTCACCAGGGTAGAGGTCAGGTGAGGGGTCAGAGAGGGGGGAATCCCCAACGCCACACTCAGCACGCCAAGCCCAAAGGCAGCGCCCCGTGTGGTTCTCTCGGGATGGGCTACAGGGAGGCATTCCCTGAAGTCAGGGAGTGGGCTGGCGATGGTGGCAGCACACACTGCCTGTCTGTTGCTCTCTGATGTGCGTCTCATCCTAACAATCCCCGGGAGGGAGGCCTTGCCCAGGGCACAGCCAGGAGGCAGCGAGCCAGGATCACGCCCTGGCCTCTGGCTCCAAGGCTCAAAGGCCCAGCTGGGTGATGGCATGGCCATCAGGCTGGGGTCCTCCAAGTGCCCGAGTCACCCTGCACTCCCTGGCCCCCAGGCCCTGCTCAAGGGGTACCCTCGGTGGCCATGAGGGTCGCGTGAGCCTCTGAGAGAGGACACTCAGTCGGGGTCCCTGGCATGTGACCACACTGTCTGAGGTCTGGGCCAGGAACACACCGGAGAAGGCCCCACACTTATCCTGGCCCTGTCCTGACGCCGACCCCCAGACCTGAGTCCTTCTCTCTCCAAGAAACTTCAACGAGAAGCACTCGCCTTCACCGACCCAACCCCAGAAGTCACCCATGGCCGCCCCTCCCAAGAAATACAGAACAAGCAGAGAGGCTGCCAGCGGAGCAGCACAGCCTGCACACGAGGGCCTGGGGCGGGCGCGGCCACACCTGTGCGTGTGCCCGAGCCCTGGGGCTCCAGCAGGCTGCCCATAGAACCTCTAACAGGTGTAAAGCCCCAAACATCTGCCCGATGGGCCAGGCCTCAGGGCAGAGGGGCCGGCCAGGCAGTGGCCTTACCTCATGTCTCCAAGTTTCCTGCTGATGGCAGAGCCCACGGTGGACAAGGCAGCTGAAGTCCTCTGTCCCGCCTGAGACAGCGTCTCCTGAGTCCTCTTGTAGCTGGCAAGAAGAAACACCAGTTCAACCAACCAAACACAAGGGGCAGCCACCACCCATAAGCCAAGGACACAAGGCGCCCAGTCACCATGGAGGAGACGCGTTCACGCTCCAGGCCCCTGGAGAGGGACAGAAGCAGCACTCCCAGGTCGTGACCTCTCAACCCTACATGACACCATTTTCTGACCTCGCTGGGATGCCAGTTCTTCCACAGCGACTCTGACTAGGGAAGCACAGGGCCTGCCGGGGGAAGACAGGATCCTCCTGGCTATTCTCATGGGACAGTCCGCAGTGGAGAACACAGCTTACCCAACCCACAGGAGCGCGCTCCCCAGAGTGCCCTCCAGCCCCGTCCGTCCCACATCGCTTCAGAACCGGGAACCTTGGCCCCACGCCACCACTCTCAGCTCCAGGGAGGTCTGGGCGCCCAGCGCGGACCACCCTCTCCAGGCCCCCTGCCAGTCTACCCTCACACTCATGCATCACAGGAGACACGGCTCCATGACCCCAATATCAGCGGGCCAGGCAGGAGGCCTGGGCCACAGGGACGGCAAAGACACCCCTGGGCCCACCTTGAGAGCCAACACCTGGAGCTGCCGGCCCTCATCCAGCTGTTACCACAACAAAGACACCGCAGCCTGAACCCAAGAGCTCCTTTCTGGCCAACCTGGCAACCCTGAGAAAGCAATGGCTTGGGATGGCAGGGCTCCCAAGATGCCAGCCTGCCCTTCTCGCCTGCTAGCGTCCTTGGTGACAGGTGAGCGCAGGGTCAGACAGCGCCAGCAGTGGGTCCTCTGAGCCCTTCCCTCCCACCTGCTGCCATCCGCCCTCAGGCCAGCCTCTGACCACTGCAGCCTGCCCATGTTGTCTGTTTCTGCCATGAGCTTGGCCCTCTAACTTGACAGCGTCTGTGCCTGACGCTGCCACCTGCACCACAACCTGTCTCAGGGTCTGGCAAGACTGGCAACGATGGTGAAGAAGCACCTGTGGCAGGGGTAACGACACACCCCACCACATAGCTTCCCGAGGAAAGGCTCTAGAACCTTCTTGGAGACCGCTAACTTGCAGTGCCTGCTAGCCCCTACCCCCCACCCTAAGGCCTAACCTGATCGATTGCTTTCATTTCAAAATGAGCTAAGTAAAATTATCTGCAAAAAACAGGCTTCTGTGCGCCTGGAGCCATGGTCGTTAACACAAAACCCCAGGTGCATAGTAGCTGAAGACACGCCACATCTCGTTAGAAACACAAATCCAGAACATGTCTCCAGGCACAGTTTCCCTGCAACGAGCAAGTTCGGAAGATCACGTTAACATCCTGTGGTTCGCTGGAGTAAAATGGTCTGAAGCGGAGGGTTTAAAGAAAGCCTCCTGGAACCTCTGTGGCCACAGGACCATGTCTGGGAGGCGCAGGCTGCAGAGCAGCACGAGCCTGTGCCAGAAGTCCTTGGTGACGACCCTGGGGGCAGCACCCCACAGCCCCGGCATTTCTGGGGTGCAGAAACAGGCGTCACAAGAGACTCCTTCAGCAGGAACTGCGAAGCCAAGGCAGATGTGGTGTGGGCGCCAGCATCTGCACCCACCTTAGTGCCACACGGCCAGCGCCCCTCAAGAGTCACTTCTACCTGTCAGGAAGACACAGGCAGAGCGCCCCACGACCAGCGCCCGTCGGTCAGCATAGGGCGTCTGCTGGACGCACCTTCTGCTGCATCTCCATTCGGGGCTGCCCCATCTCCCACTCAGGGTGGGCATGTGACCCCGGTCTGACTGGCCAGAGCTTACCGCTCCTGACCATAGCGAGAGTCCGATTAGAGTCCACATCGGGCCACCTTGTGTTGGGCTGCGACGCTGGGTGCCCCGTGCATCAGAGGACGAGCTGGCCTGAGAACAAAGCCATCCTGGGGGGAACGAAGGTCCCCAGCTCCTAAACAGCTACGCAGTGACGGGCTGTGTATCCAACTACACAAAGAACCTAACACATGACGCTCCAAGGACCCTGGTGACACCTAGCTGCAGTGGCTCCCTGTGCACAGCCAGCAAACCTGGGGTCCCAGGCACCTCCACGACAAGCTTGGCAGGGCCCGTTTCCTTTCAGCCCAACACAGAAGGACTTTCTGCTGTGTTCTCCGGCAACCATGACAGTGCTTTCTTCTAAACAAGAGATGGAAAATCCCAAAACGTGACTATTTTTAAATATGGTCCCACCCAGTTGAAAGGTGTTGCAATCAGGTGGGAGCATAGATAAATCAAGTGGTATCATCTCATTTAAGGGTCTCAAATAAGATGCCAGGCGCCATTTGGGACTGCAGCACCTAGCAGATACAAGATGCTGTCCGTACATGTCACACGGGTAATGTGTGTGTGGCTGATAGCGTGGTGCCTTCAGGATAACAGCGGCATGGCCCACACTGCCCCACACCCAAGAAGCCCCAAGAGCTAAAGTGCTAGTGACACTCTGAAGAACCGCCCAGCATGAACTCAGTCGGCAAGGAAGGAGGATCAATGAAAGTCACCGTCGACGCCAGCCCCGATGGCACTCGACCACTTTGCCACTTTGAAAGCCGAGGAGCGTCTATGGGCCAGAGACGCTGCAGGGCCTCTTATCTAAGGGCCACATGCCAGGCAGAGGGATCTGCAGCGCGGGCCAGTGTCTGAGTGGACCTCTTCAGCAACTGCAGCCCGCCCCACAAGTCCGAAGCATCATTTCACTTGTGGTGGAGAAAATTACACTAAAAACGAAGCAGCCAGAAAGCCGCTGGCTCGGCCTGTGCCCAGCACCCTGCCTGCCTGGCTGGGAGGCGCATCGGGAGAGGTGAGGAGGGGTGCTGTGGGCAAAGGCACTCACAGGTCCGACTGGGTCATTTTCTCATTCCACTCTCCGAGTTTCTCAGAAGTTTTCACATAGCTAAAAACAGAAAGGCTGTGGTAAATTATACAAAAAAATTATTTCAACTCAGGTTTCAAACTGCAGGTGAAATTCCAGGGAAAATGGAGATGCTCCGGCTGGCAGGACGCTGGGTCTCTAGCCTGAGGACAGGAGGTGCTTCTGCCAGGACCTGCTGTGCAGGCCAGGTGAGGCCTGCGGAGGGGTCAGCACACCGACCAGTTCTCCTCCCGTCAGGCAAAGGGATGGCCTGCGTCATCCAATGCAGGAGGTTCTCAGGGAACAGCAGTGTTGTGAGGAGCAATGGGCGCAGCCCGTGTCACAAACGCTTCTCTGACAGATGCCCCTGGCATTCAAAACCTACGGTTTGCTATGACAGGAACGGGCTTTGCACAAGTGACTCAGAAAACACCAATCTGTCTTTCTGTGGGGACGTGGGGAACACTCCCCGTGCGCACACCAGGGAGGCTACATTTCAGAGGAGCCCCGCAGCTGCACCCCCAAATTCAGATTGCTGAGTCACGTTTGGTTAGGAGGTCCTGGGGTTGTGACCACATGACACTCATGAAAAGGACTCATGTCCACTTCAGCAGACAGTAAGCTATAGGGAACAGAGGAAAGACAGCCTGAGTAAGGACCTGACTGTCCCCAATCTGGACCCTGCAACATCTTCTTGTCACATCCCACCTGGACAGCTAGCTCGTGTCCAGCTGCCTTTTAAAATGTGTAGACTCCAGCCATTTGAATCAATACAAGCACAAGTGCTCGGTCAAGGACTCAGGGCACACCTGATTCCCAGGTCCTGGGATGCCCTGGACAGAGCAGCCTCCGGGCACACAGCGGGTACCTACGCGTTAGAGACCTGAACGTCATGCCAGCTCCGGGACAGGTTCTGCTTCAGGCCCTCCAGGGTGGAGAGGCCCAGCTTCCTCTTCAGCTCCCCACAGTGCTTCTCCTTAGCTGCCAGGACCTGGCGCAGAGTGACAATCTCCTCTTCTACCTGCAAAAGCATGCAGTGGACATGATCAGCTGCCACGACTGCAGAAGTGGCCAGCACCCTACACACTGCAGAGGCATCTAGAATAATGCAGCACTGTCTGCCTACAGAGGCACAGCTAGTCTCAGAGACAGTCTGTGGCTGACACCCGCTGTTTTTATCCAGTACTGGCACCCCAACTTCTTTTGCAGAACTAGCTCACCCCCAAGACAAGTGCTTCCAAGGGGGCTACCAATCACCATGCCTACCTATGGATGAGCCAGAGCTCTTCCCAGGGATTGGGCACAGGTGTTCGGGGAGAAGCCCTGTCCCTCGGGACTCTGGGTCTGGGCTCAGAGAACAGAAGCTGGAACTTCCGGCAGCCAGGCCCCACGCACACTGTGGAGGGGTTTCACATGCAGTGGTGAGGAAGCAGAGCTGACAGATGGGTGGCCAGAGACCCAGGGGACAGAAACAGCCCTTAGGACGTGTCCCTGAGGTCAGCTCCAGACCTTAGCAAAAGCCAGTCACATAGCCAAAAGCAAATTTGCTTTTGTTTAAGTTGGGTAACAGGAGGAATCCTGACAAAGTCCTGAACCTCCTCAGGTCTCACAAAAAAAAAAAAAAAAAAAAGTGACTGTGACTTTAGAAGGGAGCATCTGTTAGAGCCTTACTACTTTAGAGCTCTCACTATTTTCAGCTCCTATGTAAACAGCTGTTCTAAAAAAAAAAGGTCCTTTCTTTAAAAAGTGCTTGTTTGGATCAAAGCACTAAAAAAAACCCTTAGGACTCTGTACATCACTAAATTCTTCTTTGGGAAATAGTTGAAACAAGAAATAATTTAAAAATACAGTGTCGTCGAAGGACAAACTATAACCAGTCACTCAAGCAGTTATAACCAGTGACTAGAATGTCCCATTTATGGTGCAATGACTGACACGGCTTAAGGGCACTAGTTGCCTAGGGGAACGTGCAAGTTGAAAACTGTAAGTGACATAAGAGTGCCTTCACTTTGTAATTCCACTCTGAAAATGACCTGTGGTTTTAGTTTCTAAGCCAAAGTATTCGAAATAAAACGTGAAGCCTAAGGTGTCCTTGGACTTCCTGCTGCTTCTCTCTTAACCTTTGTTCCTTCATGCTTCCATGACCTAAAACCTGCTCCTGGGGCTGAGGTTCATCTACAGCTCACTTTGTTCAGACCCACAGCCACACCCGGGATGTGTCAAGACAGAGCCTGTCTGGACACAAGAGCACAAGCAGTGCTTCAGCCTCTGCCTGACTGGACGCTACGGTCAGATGTGAACAAGTTCATCTCTACAGATTCTGGAATGTCAAGTGAGTCACTATTAGACTCTGCATCACACAGTGAAAACAAGCTCTTGGCAGCCGGTTTGAATAAAAATTACACTTGGGGGCTTTTGTTCTAAACTCCTATTTCCTCTTAAGGGACTCTGTCTTCAAAAGATCACGTGGCACTTTTTACAGAAGTATTTTGAAGGAGAAATCAAGATCGAGGGGCAGATAAGACTCGTGGAGTCTTTAAAACATCATGGCGTCTTTAAAACATCGTGTTAATTCCAACAGAGAGACTCCCAGCAGAGGGTGTGCCCAGAGCAGCTGTCCCTAGGTGGACATCCTCAGGCAGCACCGACCAGGTGCCAGGCACGTATAAAGCCCAGGCTGCAAAGGGCAGTTTCTCTGGGGCTCTGGGGTGGCCTCCCAGGACAGTTTCCGCAGAGCACAGCGAGCACTCGGCCCCTCAGGGCTTTGCCTCCTGGTGACTCAGGACAGCACCTTGGTGAGCTCCGCCCTGAGCTCCTCCTCCTCGGCCTCCGTCAGCCCCTCCACGGCAGGAGTTGGGGCAGCCACCGCGGTGTCAACAGGGACGTCCGTCATGGAGTCGGACAGCAGGCCTTTGTTAGGAGAGTTCAGGTTGATATCTGCCAGGGACAAAATGAGGCCAGAAAGTGGCAAGCAAGAAGTTACAGAAAAGTAAATAGGGTAGAGGGCTCCACCAAGGGAGAGAGCAAGGCTGAAAGGGCAGGGGGGCGGGAGAGGGAGCTGGGGACTAACAATGCCTCTTCTCTGAAAGGTCCTGACGGTTTGGGCCATTAGACTGCGGCAGCCACTCCACAGGCCACTCCCGATGCTGCTTCAGGGAACCGGACACGCTGCTGCACGGCAGCCCTACCCTAATCCTGCTTCCCTTGTGAAGGAGAGAGTACTATCTTCTGAGAGAGGAAACCTTCGCTACAAATCAGCCTGATCTAATAGCTCTGCCATTTTTAGAGCAAAGGAACACAATACAGTTGTACACACAAGCACCACTTTCCAAAAACCGATCTGCCAGAGCGCACGCTACGCTCACAGCCACGGAGCACATGCTAGTCACCGGCCCTGCAGGGGGTCGGCAAAACACGTTCCCGTCAGTCCATCCTAGACCCTCGCCGCAGCAGGGCCCGCAGCTCGCAGTGGGTGCAGACGGCACACTGCTCCACCTCTCTGCTATACCCAGGTCAGGTTCAAATTCCTGCAGCTCACAGTAAATGCAGCTTCTCGTCCACACGAAAAGTTTGGAAGATCCCATGCAACCAAAAATGAGTCTGCTCAGTTCTTTCCAACTCCAAACATACGACTGTCACTTAGTACTTTTATACGCTCAGCACTGAAAACATGCTCCCTTTGATCAGCATACTCTGTGAAGAAACAGACTTTGTATGGTGTCTGGCACATTTACAGGTCAGTTAAAAGGAAAAGCACAGAGATTAGAAAGAAGTAGAAATCTCCTTAATTGCAGGTATGTTTGTCCACTATAGAAATCCTCGAGTGTGCTAAAAACAGACTGAATGCAGTCAAAAGCAAAGAGGCCCTCTTAGTGACCCCCACGTGTCCTGCAGCTGGAGCTATGGGCTTCCTTGGTGCTCAGTAGGTGTTTACTAAAGAAGTGGATTCCGACTTTTCACTGAAAGCAACCTACATGACTTTGCTTCATCATTTGTACCCGTTATGTTAAACCTACTCAAATTCAGTAAATGCCTTAAAAACCACTACAATTTTTATCTTCTAATCTGGCTAAAGCTAAAATTGGATCCCATGGTAAAACCTGGGTACTTACCAAACACACCGGGCAATGGACACACTGGTGACACCGCCTCAGCACACCCCGCAGCTAGATGCCACGCACACCCTCATTAGAGGACGCCGAGGCAGCCAAGTGTCTCACCAAAGGACCCACCAACAATAAGCGTGGGGCCAGAGTCCTTCACCCTGGGAGTCCCAGCTCTCTAACCCTGTATAATCATCTGCAAAATGGGGGCAACACAAGGACCAGTCTCAAACGGTTATTCTGAAAGTGGAAAAAGGTCATCTGAGACACAAGCTCAGTATGGTGTCTGGCACACAGGGCGTGCCCAGCTGACGTTTTCTGTCAGTCTCATGATCGGAACCCAGTGCTTGTGACACCTGCCTAAAGCAGAGATGCCAGTCAAGCAGCGAAAAGCCTCCCGAACTACCAAAGCCCCGGGCTTTTGATGCTCACTATTTTATAAGTAGACGTGAAAAGTCGGAAAGTCTGCAGAACATCACCAGGAGCCAGAAGCGCTAACGTTTAGGTCAAACGGCAGGAAAGCGCCCCGACGTTGTCCAGTGAAGCTCTGCGCACACAGGCCTTCAGCACCCCTCCCTCGAGCCTCAGAATGAAGACTGACTTGTATCACTTTCTCAAGATTTTAATCTGGGCCCGCTCCACACCCGCGGCGGCCACCTCAAGCAGGTCTGGGGTGTCTGCTCTGGAAACAGGCCAGGGATGCTGGGTGTGCCCGACTCGCTGCACCCCCCCGCCCCCGGAGACAACCCCTAAGGAGGCTGGGCTCCGAGAGGCGTTGCCACCCAAGGGGCGCTGCGCTCAGCGCGAGGGCGGGTCCCCTCCCCTCCCCGCGGGCCGCGCACAACACCTCAGCCCAGGTCCAGCTGGAGCGTCTCCAGGGGCCCTGGCAGGGACAGAGGGCGGCCGACCAGGCAAGCGCCGGGCGGCGGCATAATGAGGGCTGCCTGGAGAGGAAACCCGAAACTCTGGGAACGAGGGGAGCGGTCCAAGCCGCGGGCGGGACACCCACGCCACGACCACCGGGAGCTTCGCGGTCGAGCGCCTCGGAGCTGAGGACGGGCCGTGGGGTGGGCGGGCGGAGAAGGCGACCGAGAGACCGAGACGCGACCGCGGAGAGGTGCGGAGTGTGGGCCCGGCCGGTAGGCGGCGGAGGCGCCGCGCCCGCGGGTACCTTGGCCAGCAGAGTCCATGTTCAGGCGGCGGCCGGGGTCGCAGGCGCTGTAGTAGCCGAGCGGGCCGCACTGGGAGTCGCTCGCCGCGCACACACCAGCCAGCGGAACCGCCTCAGACGCCGCGGCATTACGTAATCAGCGAGGCGACGGCCCACTTCCGCTTTGACGTGTGCTCAGCCTTCGTCCCGCCCCCACGATCGCTGTCCAATAAGGGCGTTGTTTGGCCCAGACTTGTTCACCCGCTCCAACCTTATTGGCCAAGGCTGCGGACGAAGCAGGAAACGGAGGCCGGGTTCTGAAAGAATCCCTCCCAGGCCGGCTCCACCAGCGAGACGCACAGGTAGAACGGTGCGAAGGAACCCTGGGAAGGTGGGAAGTGGGATGACCGTCCAACATGGCGCCGTGGGACCCCTCCAGCCCGGTCCTTTGGAGATCTCGGGGATGCTTGCCGCTCCGTACGAGCGCCAGGGCACACGCAGCTGGACGGGTCGGACTCAAACCGCTTGCGATCCCTCCAAGGCCCGACTCCCTGACTTTGGGGTTAGCCTCTCCCCCCGGTCTGTCTTTTTTTTCTTGTTTAGGCCGTCCGTTGACGGAGATTTTTTTTGTTGTTGTATGAGGGTTGTGCAGAAAAAGACGTGACCACGATCCATCCTCTTCAACTGCAGGCGCCGCTGCCCTCACCTGGTTGGAGGCGTCTCGGTCCCTGCGCGGGCACCGGGCGTCATGCACGCGCAGCTGACACGGGCATGAGCACGCCTGCTGGGAAGCGGCCCGGCCCTGTGCAGCTTTCACCAGGTGTTCTCGCAGTTCCGTTTCACAGCCATGGGGTGAACCAGGTGGAGCCTTCCCCGCTTTACAGATGAGGAAAATGAGGTTAGAGTAAGTTGCCCAAGGTCACTCAGCTAGTTGAGGGGCAGACGCTGGAACAAGAGTTTACCTAACTTCACGTAGGACAGATGTGTAACCCGTCTGGCAACCTGTCCTGCTAAGACAAGTCCCACAACTTCCCTTCTTTGTCTCCTAATTGCCCCTGGAAGCTAAGCCATAAATGGTATTCAAACTCTTTAGTATTTGACCTTTCTGGGACTGTATCCTCCATTTCCAACCAAGCCACTGTGATCCCTCCGCACGCAAGCACCTTCCTTCACCTGACTTAACTCCTCCTCCTGTCTCAGCTCAAAGTTCACCTCCGCCACAGGTGTCTTCCTGGTACTTTGGTCACATTAAGTACCTGCCTCTGCTATTACTTGCCGAGGTGCATCATGGCTGTGTCCTGTGCTGGTGCTGTCAGTTACTCCTATGTCTGCCCCACTTGCCTTTTTCAGTTTTTCCGGAGTTTCTTGCCCAACCCACCCTTGCCAGCCCTTGTCCCCAGAGGCAAGGGACAGCCAGCAGTCCCTGCTTCATGCAATTCAGGGCAGATGGCAAGAAAGCGACTGCATTACAGATAGTGGTGAGCAGAGGGCTTGTCTCTCTCTCTGCATTGCATCCCTGAGCCAGGAACGAAGCCCAGCCCAGGTCTGGCTCAAGAGGATGCTCGGCAGTGAGTGGCAATGCAGGTGTGTCCAAAGCCCTAGATGGGCATGCCACGGTGTGTATCTGTTCCTTTGAGACTGTGGTCCCACCGTGCACCCCTCCTGTAGAAGCTAGGAGCGGAGGTGGGAAGGGGACCCTACGGGGCAGCAACATCACACTCCAGGATGGTCCAACTGCTAAGACCTGCTCTATAGACCTCCAATGCCAATGTCCTTTACAGTTAGGGGCGACTTGTACAGACCCTTTAACATTATCCTTCTGAGAGTCATCTGGTAACTCAAACCAGGTGAAGGGCACCTCCTAGGGCTCCCACCATCCTTTTGAGGCACCAAGTACACAGCATTGCTATTAATTGGGTCAGCTTAATCTTTGCATTCTATTTAGGAGTTGGGAGCAGACTGGGACATCCACAAGTGTTTGAGGGAGGAAGGGAAAGAAGGGAGTGGGGAACACCCTCCTGTCCCCCAGATACCAGGTCAGGATTCCCAGGTGGGGCCAGCTGTACTGGTCAGGGTGTGGGGAGGAGAACGGACCTGAGGCCCGGTAGGTGTGCGAATATAAGAACTGGCCAGCTGCCGCAAGGGAACAGGCTACAGCCTCCAGGGCAATTGGAAGTCCTCGGGCCCCAGCGGACTGCAGTGAGTCGCCTCCACGTTCTTGAGGTGCTTGCGCGCCAGAAACAGCGCGAGCTGCCTGCGCCGCCGCGAGCTCAGTCCCTGACCCACTAGCCACGGGAAGGCGAGTCCGTGTGGTCCCCAGGCCTCCTCGTCCTCCGCGTCCTCGCAGCTGGCGCAGTAGGAGCGCAGCAGTTTCAGGCACCATTCGTCTTCCACGCGGTAGCGCGCGTAGAAAGCAGCCTCCTGTGCCAGGCTGCCAGCGCGCAGCCAGCGGGTCACGATGGCTAGGCCCTCACGCGCCATCACAGCGGGGTAGCGGTGCTGCAACAAGCGCAGTAGCAACTCGTTGCCGCGGTTGCCTTCCACGTCGCCGGACGGCAGGGGGCGCAGGTGGCCCGAGGTGCTGACCACGTCGTCCTGCGTGCGCCGGAGCAGCAGCACCGGCCCCGGGTAGCGGCACAGTTGCTCTGCTACATTGAGGTTGAAGTGCTCGCGCACGGTGCGCACCACCAGTCCCTTCCAGCTGTGGGGCATGACCTTCACGGCTAGCGGCACGAGGTCGTCAAAGGTGGCATCGAGGACCAGCGCACCCAGCTCTGGGTATGTCATGGTGGCCCACGTGGCCGTGAAGCCGCCAATGGACCACCCATAGACCATCACGTGCGCAGGTGGGAAGTGCAGACGGTGCAGCGCATACTTGACCACCACGTCCATGGCGTTGGCGTCGTGCTGAGGAAAGGGCGCTCCGGTGCTGCCCCCGAAGCCGGGGTGGTTCCAGCCCAGCACCGAGTAGCCGGCTTCCAGCGGCGCCGACAGGCATCCCATCTCGTAGAAGCCAGCGTTGCCTTCGCAGCAGATGACCAGGTGCAGGCCGCGGCCGCTGCTGCCCGGGTGTTGGCGGCGATCCATGAACATGGTGTCAATCTCGTTGCCGTCACAGGCCACCAGCTTGGCGCGCCGGCCGCGGTAGCGCTCCACGAGGCGCTCTTGGCCCTGCTGCAGCAGCGGCAGCAGCGCGCGTGTCATCAGGAACATAGAGCCGGGGTACACGAGCCAGCGGCCCAGGGAGTGGGCCAGTGCGTAGCTGGCGAGCTGGACTGGCAGCTCGCGGATCTGCTGCAGGAGGCACTGCGCCTGGCTGCGTGCCCCGCGCACTGGCCTCCCAGGCGCGCCCCCACCCAGCGCAGCTCCCTGCAGCAGCCACACGCCGGCTGCGGCCGCTGCGCACGTTAGCGCGCTGTAAGCGCTGCCGCCCCCTCCGGTGGCGCGCACGTCATCCCAGCGGAAGTCCACCGGCCAGCTGCGGAAGTTGTAGGTGTAATTGGCGGTCAGGTAGATCTTGAACACGTGCACCAGCGCCTTCACAAAGCAGACTACACACATGGGCGTCGAAGCTACCCGGTGCTCCGCGCTAACCCTAACACCCAGTCCCTGGGCTGGGGTCGAGGCGGGAGGCCCGGGCCCAGCCCGGTGCAGGGCTGTCTTGGGTCATGCCTCCTCAGGGCTTCGTCTTAATGGCCTTCATGACCTGGGCCTTCAAGGGCCCAGAGGATGTATTGGCATCTGCCCCGCGGGCTGGCTTTATGAGTCACTGTTGCTGGGGGAGAGGCAACACCCAGTGATGGGCACACAAAGGGTTCCCGGGCACGGAGGCCCTCAAGTTGTGCCCCGCCCCTGGGACACAGCCTTAGGACTGTGGCGGCCACACCCTCCCAGGGCCTCCTGGCCTGCATCTTCCCTGGGCCCCGTACCACTCACATCTTGAGCAGCACCCGCCCACTCTCCTCCTCAAACTGAAGGTGGATAGACAGGCCAGAAATTGACAGCCTTCACCTCTTCCTGGGTGGAGGCCGGGGTCCCACTGGGGAAAATGCAGGGCTTCCCCTGGCCCTGAACCAAGATTGCTGTGGGACCCTCCCCAACCTCTGGAGGTCCCTGTGCGGCTGGGAAGGGAGCTGGGGCAGGCAGAAGCAGCTCTGGGATCAGGCTGTGTGGGAGTTGGCAAAGACTACGTAGTCATGTCCAGGACAAGTCTGGGGGTAGCGGTTCCCTGCCCAGGGCTATGCTAGGTGCCCCCAGCCCTCCTAGTGCAAGGGAGCAGCCCAGAGAATCCCAGGCTGTACCACCCTGGGGAGGGGCAGAGGCTGGCTGGGAGCCCTGAGGATGTTTTCTCCTGGTCTGCGGGCCCCCATCCCTCCACACCGTCTTCCCCAGGAAAGGGGGTAAGTGCCGGCTGGAAACCCCCGCCTGTCCTGGATCCTCTTTCCACTGGCGCCAGCAGAGGCAATGACCTTCTCCAGGTGGGTCCTGCCTGGCCAGTGTTCCTCATTTTCAGCCCCTGAGCAAGCATTCCCCACCCTGAAACCACCCACAAGCTGTACCTTCCTCTTTTCTAGAGGCCTCTGATGGGTTCCCCTTTTTCTACTGCACCAGAGAGGGCCAGTCCACCTGAGGGCAAAGGTGACAGGGTGAGAGGCCACCAAGGGGAGCCAGTGAAGAGCCGGACTTGGGGATCAGTCAACAGTTGCTGCACCTGCAACAGGGAGTTTGTCAACTCCAACTGGACCCTTGCAGCCCAGGACGCAGGCCCGCCTCAGAGACCCCAGCCTTCTGGGGGGCAGCTTCCAGGACCAGCAGCCCTGTCTGCTCCCCCATGTGTCTGGGTCAGGGGCACTGCCGGCTCACTCATTCCCTACCACGTTTGGGAAGAGCCGAGGATATTTACTGTCCTTAGGCACTGGGGGGCAGGAGGGGGCAGGTGGCAGTGAGTGGGTTAGGAGAGTTGAATATCCTCCCAGGAGTTCCAGATATAATACAATACAGAACACCCAGTTAAGTTTGAATTTCAAATAGAGAACAAATAGTTTGAGAATAAGTATGTCCTAAGTATTGCATGGGACATACTTAAACTGGTCAGATATCCTGTTTGGGGGTTCGTTTGGTTGTTTTTTGCAAAATCTGGCCACTCTGTCCTGGCACCCCTCCCCCCAGCCAGCTGTGATCCAGGACTGGGCTGCTCTGCCCTGCTCATTGGTCAGGTTCTGGGGACCAAGAGGGTGTCTGGGGGTGCACTGGACAAGGGCTCCTGTTCTCTGCCCTGCAACCACCTCCCCTCTTCACTGGGTCCTGAGTGGCAGCAGGGGCAGTGGGGGGAATAATTTATGATGGAGAACCACTACTCTATGGAGAGAAATCGGACACCTCTTCATGGGCACACATGCACATTGGTGTGCATGTGTGCACACGTGTCTTGTCAAGGGAGTGATATCAGTTGTGTTTCCGAAGCTCCACACCTGGGTTGGGCAGATAGAACTGCCGTGGGGATTAGTGGCCTGGGGGTTACTGTCCCAGGAGCCACTTTCATAAACTCAGGTGCTGCTGAACCCAGCGGGAAAGGGGCAGTGCAGACCCAGAGGCTCCTGGCTTATTTTGTGACATTAGAGGGGTGACGCCAACAGCAGACGCAGTGGGGGTGTTCTGGATGGCTGTCCACACAGGATGTGGGCCATGCCACATTCTGTTCTAATTCCCCAGGGAAAGATGGGGCTTGGGGGAGCCTCGGCCTCCTGGGGACCATCTCCCAGCTTGGTCAGCTCAGAGACTTGTGCTTGGAAATAGATGCTTTCCTTCAGCCAGGCCCACCTGCCCCTGGCTTCCCTGGGAGAGCAGGAAGCGAGCCAGAGACCTGATTCCGAGGGCAGAGGTCAGCAGGCCAGAGCTGCTGGCCCCCTGGGGCCCTTACCCTGGGTCTGGCAGGCCCCTGACAGCTCCCCTCCCCCAGCCTATAGGAGCCTGAGTGCCTCAGAACCACCAGCTCTGTTGAGAGCATGTGACAGGAAGGGAGCCCTCCTGGTGTCCCCTCTCCAGAAGGGCCCCCCAGACTGGACCAGCTGCAGCAGCAGTGACCTCTTGTGCCCCCATCTGCTCAGGAAAGGTGGGGCTGTGTCCCCAGTTATCAGTTCTGTTCCAGGAGGCAACCCCCTCCCTTGCCCCCTGTGTCTCCAGGCAGACATCTAAGTGTGCACCCCACCCCACAGAGCCAGCTGGGCTCTGTGACCTCTAGCCTTCCTGCTCCCTCTGGCCAGTTATGCTCAACCTCTGCAGAGGCCCTGATTTATGCTGCTAGCTAGCTGAGAGCCAACCTTGGAGCCCGGAGTGGAGGGAGAGAGAGAAAACCAGTCCCAGAGGCTGGAGGGCTGGGGCCAGGATCAGAGCCCCTGGCAGGGGATGGCCAGCCAGGCGGCTGGAGCCGACCATAGCAGCCCCGAGCTCTGGGAACAGAGCCCGGGCCTTGGGAAGGCTGAAGCTACCCCATGGGAGGAGGAGCTGAGTCTGCACAAACGCCTCTGCTCAGGAAGTGGGGTGCAGGGAAGGTGGGGGCTGGCTCAGAGCCTGAGGACAGGAGGAGATGCTTCCTGGCGGATGCAGGGTCAGAGGGGGCGGAAATGGCCAGGACAGCTGCTGGACATCTGGAATCAGACTCACACAGCGCCCTTGAGGATGGCGGGGTTGGTGTGGAGTGGTGGTGCCAGGCCCTGTTCCTGCGTCCCTGCAGGGCCCGCTCAGGGCCCTCAGGCTGCACCCACTGTTGGGTTGAGCCCTGTGGCCGTCCTCTGGGGGCCAAGTTCCACTGGGCTGAGTCCCCTGGGCAGTGCACATGTCTGCAGAGTCCCGTGCCCCCTGGAGTTGTGCAGGCCTCCGTGCCCCTCCTGGGATGGTCCCTGGGGCCCATACGTGAACTTGGGAGGATTCCTGTACCCTGGGGCCCAGTGTCACCCCTGGCTGGGCACCCCTCAGAACAAGCTTTGTCCTTTCCACCGCTGACACCCAGCGCAGGGTTTGATGTAAGGTGAGCTGGCAATTATTCTGTTATTCAAACTGCACCCAGTGGGACAGGACAAAAACGCTCGCTGTGCGTTCTATACCCACCTGGACTCCTGACCTGGCTGGGCGTGTCTCTACTTCCCTACCTGCATGACCACAGTCTTGACTACAAAGGTGGTTTCATCACTGGCATGGTGGCTACCATGAGCCCCCCTGCGCTCTTGCCCACACACCAGATTCCGGGTCCCTGCCGGAATCAAAGTGCTATGTGTTTTTAAGGCCAGATGGGGCCACTGCTTTTCCACAAGTTGTTGCCGGCCCCTGAGCCCTGTGAGGGAGCTGGTGCTTTTCGTTTTGCCGTGAGTTTAATGAATGGTCACTGAGCCTGACCCTCTGACCAGGCCGGCACCGGAAGCCCTTCCGCCACTTGAGCAATCCATTCCGCTTTTCGCTCTCTGCCTCTTGGAGACCCCTTACCTGTGGGACCCAGCGCCAGCGGCTTGGTAGTGGCCAGATAGAAACTATGGCCTGGATCTCCGCCAGCCACCCTGGCTTGTGGGGGAGGGGTGAAGGGAAAGGATGCGGACCTTTGGCCTTGGCCTCAAAGTTGGGTCTCGGGCATTCCAGAACCTCGGCGTTTTGCCTTGCCAGCGTAGGACCCCCCGGAAACCAGCGATGGGGGTGGGCAAAGGGCACAGCTCAGCGTTGGACATGGCACAGAGTCCGCTAGTCGCCAGCCGCTGAATCGGAGCCCGCGTTTCCGGGTAAAAGCCTTTCCAGGCAACTCTGACTTCACCTGGGGGCCGGGGTCCCCTGAGCGCACAGAGGCTGCCTTTCCCGGTTCCTCCAAGTCGTGGAGGCCGCGCGGAAGGTGGAAGGTTTCACCGAAGGAGCAGTTCACACCGCAGCCCTGAAAGGATGGAGGGGTGACCTGGAGTCCCCGCCCCAGCGCCTTGTTGCCCCACTCGCGCCGCCTTGTGGCTCGAGTCTCCTCCGGGACGGCTGCGGCGCGTGTTTTGGGGTAGGGAGGGCGTTTCTGCGTAGCCCCTCCCAGCACCCCTAAGAGGGGAAAGTGGAGCCTTCCTCGAGCCCGGAGGAGCCAGAAGGGTGGCGAGGACCGGGTGGCACTGGCTGCCAAGAGCCCGCCCGGGTCCCGAGTGGGGACACGGAGGGCGCTGCCAGGAGTCCCCGCGGCCTGCGGTCCAGACCCCCAGGCCTGCCTTCCCTGGGCGCAGGTTTCCCGCCTGCGGGGGTGAGTGGGCTGAAAGCTGGTTTCCACTTAGCCCCAGGCGTCAGGCTCATGAGTGGGGCTCCTTCATGACCCTAAATCGGGGGAGTCCCGGGTTCTGCAGCCACACTCTGGTCCCCGAAGACCTCGGCGCCCAGACGAGGAGCGTGGGATGGCCCTGGACGCTGGGGGTGGGGTGGGGGGGCGGGGAGCCAGTCACCAGCGAGGCAGGACCATGCAAGGCTACCGCGGACCTCGGGTGGGGAGGGCCACAGTAAACTCAGGTCTCTGGCCGCAGGACAGGGCTAAGACGGCCAGGGTCCCCTCTGTCCTGCGGGGCTCACGGCTGGGGGAGGGGCTGTTCTTGGGCCCCACCGCTCGCACCTCCCAAGCTTTCTCTGAGCAGATCTAGGTTACAGCCCTCGCGGCTCCTTCTAAGTCTCTTGCACAGATTAAAAACGGCAACTGTCCCAGAGCTGACCCCAGGGGACCCTGAAAGCTTCCTCCCCCACCCCCTTGCTCACAGGCACTCTGTGTTCTCCGAGTCTGCTGAACTCTGGGCGGCGACTGGGAGGCTCTAGCTCCCCCACCTTTCTTACACTGCGGGTCTCCGGGGAGCTGGCACAAGGTCAACCCCACTGCAGCCGGTCCAGCCCACCTCTGCGGCGGGTGGGGGCAGGGCCACTTCAGGGCGGACAGGCAGGCCCTTCTTCCCTCTGTCCTCCCCCCTCCTGCTGCCCCCACATGCGGGTGCCGGCTTCGGGCAAAAAACGTAGGGAAAGACGAGGTGAGACCCGGAGCCAGGGAAGCCCGTGCGCCTTTGCCTCGCCCCGTCCAGGGCCCTGAGGGGTCCAGGAGGGGTGGCTCCATCTTGGTTTCTACGGTTTCTCTAATGGGGTCCACGCTCCAGGGTGACCCCACCTGGACCCCACACACATCCTACAGACAGGAAGGCATCACCACCCCCAGGTGGCCCCCTGCTGCAGGACAGGATCTGGGGGCCAGGACAGTGTCTGCTTTTGCCCTGAGCCCACCCAGGAAGGGAGTGGGGTGGTGAGGATGAAGAAGCAGAGGCGAGAGCCCCATTAGCCCCCCTGCCGGTCCCCCGTCCTGCCCTGGGGGTGTCACTGACCGCAGGGCTGCCCACCCCGGCTGCTTTGAAGCTGCTGGAGCCCGACTCAGAGGCCAGGGGTTCGTGAGCGCCCCGCCCCTCCGGCTGCGTGGGAGCTGGGGAGTGACCACAGGGCCGCCAGTGGCCTTTGAAGTGCTGGGGCGCGGCTGCAGGAAGTGGGCGGGGGCGGCAGCCCACCCAGGCCCTGGGCCCACCCCACCGAGGCCTTGAGCCCCTGCCCACCGGGCGGGCAGGCGTGTAGCCCAGGCCCCTGAGCCACCTTGGATGCCCAGGTGTGCTGGGGCGCGGGACTGGGTGCGGGACGGGGCGGGGAGCGGGGCGAGGAAGGAAGGGGCTGCCAGGCCGCTGTCTCTCCAGCCTCTGGGGCCCAATCCCAGTCCCAATTTTGCTCAGGCTCCTGCGGGTGAGGCAATGGGGCCAGGGTTTGGTCTTTCTCCCTCAGCTAAAAATAGCGGCCTTGGCTTTGTGGAAAGCCCCTTGGGGCGGGGGAGGAAGCAGCGGGGCTGCTGTCCTGTGGCCGGGAGGAGCCAGCCCAGGCAGGAAACGCCCCGGTGCCCGGGCCCCCCAGCAAAGGCTCTGGTCAGCGGGCACAGCCCCCTGGAAAGTCCCAGGCAGCGCCTTCAGACCTGCATGGGGCAGGAGTGTCCTGGATCCTTCCGGGTGGGCCTCCCCATCCCCAGGCTGAGGACATCCTCCTGGACCTGTTCTGGTCTCTTGCCATTGACCCCAGGACGGCAGTTCTTTTCTTGTTCACCTGGCGATGACCTGAACTGTCCCGCCCTCAGATTCTCCCTTGTTCGCATCCCAGCAAGAGCCGCTCAGCAGACTGTCACTGAGTGCCTGCTGTGCTAGTGACAGGGCAGGGCTGAGCAGGGGTGGCTGTCTCTGTCCCCAGGTTGCTTGCTGAGCACAAGTAAGAGTTTAACCCAAAGGAGGGCTTTTCAGGGAGCAAACACCTGGTGGTCGCCAACCTCGGGGGTGGGGGTCGGGAGCCGAGACCAGATTGCTGGGTAGGAATCAGGCCATGAATTAGCTTGTGGAGTGGGGGCGTAGCCCTGGGAGAGGCCCTGGCGCTGAAGGGAACTTGGCCTCTTGGAGGAATAACAACAAGGTCTATGTGGCTTGAACCTGGGGGTAGGGGATATACAGGAATGAGGCTAGGGGTGGGGGTAGAGCTCGTAAGGCTTTGTAGATGGGTGAGGAGTTTGAAAGAAAGCCACTGCTCAGAAACCACTGAAAGATTCTCAGCAAGAACGTTCCAGACTCATGTTTTCATTTCAGAGAAGTCACTCCCTTGTGGAGGAAGAGCTGGGGGTGGGGGAGCTGATTCTGGAGGGAAGGCAGAGGACGGTCAGCACAGATGCCTGGGGTGGGACCAGGAGTATGAGGGTCCGGCCCAGGCCGGCTCTCTGGTAGCCCCAGTCTTTCCTGGTTGATTTTCCCAGCAGTGAGCAGCGGCGTAGGTGTTGACAAGGAGAAAGTGGGTGGCTGGGGCTCTTCCAGACAATGCCATGAGAGGACAGAAATGCTAATGCTGCCTGTATTTTTGAGAGAAAATACAAAATCTCAACTGGACAAGAAGGAAGCCAGAGAGGGGAAAGCCAAGTTTGGGAGATAAAGGGTTGTTTCTGGAGTGGGGGCTTAGTGGGTGTCGCAGCTGTGTGGCAAGCTGGGTGTGGGCCACATGATGGAGAGGTGGAGATGTCATTTCCAAGTGGGTGTGGGCTTTGGTGACAGCTCGCTCCAAGGTGTGACTGACAGTGGAGGTGAGGAGGGGAGGGGGCATCTGAAAGGGGCTGGCATGATTCCCCCCCCCCGTGGGGGGTGTTTAGAATGTTGGTACCTGACACCTCCAAGGAGGGACAAAGGAGGCCTTTCTAGCCTTCACCATTAACACAACCACCACCATCACCGCCAACAGCCACTGCCACTGTCACCTACCTAGTCACCTTGGTCATCATTACCTCTGTTGTCACCTCCTCACCATCACCGGCATCACCGGAATCCAGCCTCCTATGAAGGCAGCACCGTTGTTCACTCAGTGGACACCCTGGTTGAGAATATGCTCTTAGCTTATTGTGTTGGGCTCTGGGCATGGTGACCAGCGGCACAGGTGAGGTCTCTACCCTTGGGGAGCTTACAGTCCGGGGGTGGGGGTGGGGGAACAGGCTGCAAACAACCACGTGAAACTATTTAGAAACCAAGAAGCAGAGTGATGACCCAGCAAACCCACTTTTAGGTCTTTACCCAAAAAACAAGAAACACTCACAGTTGTGCTGCACGGCGGTGTGAGTCATCCTGGCCCCAGGTGGAAAACCCCAGGTGTCCATCCATCGGAAGTGGATGAACGAATGTGGTCCATCTGTATGGTGAGAAGAAACAGAGAGGACTGCCGGTGCAGAAGGGACCGCACACGCGTGGGGCTGCAACATTCTGTGTGATTTCATGTGTGTGAAACCCAGGGAAAGACCACCAGTGACAGCACGACTGTGGTTGGCAGACTCGGGAGTTTTGGGGTGACGCAAGTGTTCTATATCGTGACGGTGATTACGTGATTCCATCTGTCACAGCTCATCAAACTACGCTTGAAATGGGTGCATTCGTTGTATGTAAATTATACTTCAATAAAGCTTGATTTGTAAAAAGACGGGAAGATTGTGAGTGGAAGCATGAAAACCATAAGGTGGCGGGGAAGGAGGCGAGGGCTGGGTTTTGGTGGCTGGCTTCTTGGCAGAGGTGTCCTTTCTCTGGGGTGGCCACCTGGGGGTGGACTGGCTGGGTCATGTGGTAACTATGCTGAACACCCCCTTTGGCAATTTTAGCCTTAGGTAAACAGAGGCAAATCCAGACTCAAGCTGTGTGTTGAGGTAATTCATTTTTCTAGGCTGTTTCCAGATGAGACATCATTTCCTGCTCAGGTAACCAGAACAGCCCAGCAGAAGCTGCGGTGAATGACCAGGGCACTGCGTTGGGCATGAGGCTGAGGCCAGGAGACTGGTGTGGGAGGAGGGATGGGACCCTCAGGCCCTGAGCAGGCAGGGTGCTCTGGTCTAGATTCACCAGGGGCCCAGAGGCAAAGCCCAGGGAGCCCCTGGCCGGGTCCTGGCAGCCTGGATAGGTAAGCACCGCAAGTCCTTTGATCTGTTGCCTTCAAGCACCTCCTGGGACCCTCATCCCCAGCCAGCAAGCAAACTATCAGCCAGTGTCCACCAGCAGTGCCAGCTCAGGGAGGCCATGAGCAGCAGGAGCCCAGGAACCCCATGGCCTTCACCCCTGTTGGACAGCCCCGGGCTTCCTGTCCTGGGCAAGCGAGGGCTCTCCTCTAAAGCAGTGGGCTCCCCGGTGAGAGGTAGAGGCTCCCCCACATGGTGTGACAGCGACCTCCCATGGTCCCTGGGGCTCCCTGAGGATGTCCTGGGACTGGTGCCCCAGGCAGAGTATGTGGCCGCTCCACATCCTGGCTGGCTTCAGTGGGGCCTCGGGGTGTCAGGGACTGAGGTGCTTCGTGGGTGCTGGCTCTGCTGTTCTTGAAGTCAGTGTTCCAAGTAACTGGCTCTCGGGGCCCCGGTCAGCCTCGGACCTGGTGAGCCCCAGGCCCCAGTGACCTTTTCCCCTGTGGCCTTGACTGGGGCTGGGAACCTCCGGCCTGGCGTCCTGTGTCCTGCCAAGAGGATGTCCTGTCCTCCAGGCTCGCTGCCCTCCCTCCTCCATCCCTGGGGCCTCTAGGGTGGAGGTGGGGACATGGGGGTGGAGGGGATTTGGAAGTTGTGGCCGCCCTCGCTGTTGGGTCCTGAGCCCCTGCTCTCCCAGCTCCCTCCGCCCCTGGACCCGGATGCGAGGGAAGGAGGCCCCCAGCCCAGCACCTGGGTTTTTTCCAGAAGAGACTCCAGTCCCCCAGCAGGGTGGGGGTAGCTGCTTCACGGAACAAAGGCTGGGGGAGGAGAAGGGAAGTGGGGAGCAGGGAAAAGGAAGGGGCTGAGTGTGCTCTGAGGCCACCTCTCCATGAACTGCCTCCCTGTCCCTCTCTTGGGTTTCCTGTCCTGAGCCCTGTGTGGGTGAGAATGTGGGGGACTGCCCCTCACCATGGAGGAGAGCCAGGCTGAGGGTGGAGGCCTGTCGGGGCGGGTGCTGAGAGGCGCCTGAAAGGGCTGCAGGGGGGCAGAGTTGGCTGAACACCCCCACCTGTGGCCCCTCCCCATATTAATCTGTGAGGGTGACCTGAGGGTCCTCCCTGCAGCCCCAACTGGTGATTTCTGCTTGTGTGTGTGCGTGTGCGTGTGGGCACGTGTGTGCCTATGCACACGTCTGCATGTGCATGCGCGTGTTCCTTTAAATCTGTATCCCAGGTGTGTGTCTGAATCTAGGGTACCTGTGTGGCCTCTGTGTATGTCTGTATTTGTGGGGTACAGTACTGTTTCCCCTCTAGTGTCCAGAATGACAGTTCCCCAGAAAGCCTAGACCCCTAGAGAGGTGGGACAGGAAGACAGCTGTTGCTCCACCCCCCTTCTGTCCACCTTCTGCATAGGCAGCTCAGCTGAGTTAAAAAGAGCCTAAAAATAGCCCCCGGGCCTCTGGGAGAGGAAGGGGTGGAGGGGCGGGAGAAGGGGGGCAGGCCAGGGCGGTGGGGTCCACGCCAGCCTGCCAAGGCCAGCGGGTCAGGCTCCAGCAGGGGGCGCATCCGCCTGGCCCTCCCTGCAAGGCTGAGGACCCCCACCCTGACCCTGCTGGGTCCTCTGGCCTTGCTCTTGAGAAAGGCAGAGCCAGGCCTGGGCAGTCGTCCTGGTGGGAGGCTCCCAACACCTGCTTCCTCCAGGGAGGGTCCCTGGAGGTCCAGGATGGGGTGGGGAGGGAAGCAGAGGGCCCCAGGGACACTGCTCCCTCAGGGAGAAGTCAGTGAAGGGTTTGGGTTTTTTGTAACTTTTGGTTGAAGCACCACATACATACAGAAAAGTACATACACCTTAAGTGTGTGCTCAGCGAATTGTCATAAACTGAGCGCATCTTGTCCCCAGCACCCAGATCAAGAAACTGCCCCGAAGGCCCACACCCCAAGACCACCACTGTTGGGTCCTATTGGCCCCTCTGGTCCCACCTGTTTCTGGACTTAGCCTGTCACAGATGCTGCTCTGCCCCCATCTCGGTGCCACATGCCTGGAGTCCACGGTGGCCCCTTCTCATGGCTGTCGCCTCCCACCGTGTGACAGGCCACACTATTTACCTGCACTAGCTCTGATGCGCACGTGGGCTTTGCCAGCTTGGGGCTATC